AGATACAAGATCCCATTCTAAAGTCCACAAAGGAGCAGCATCTGGTGGACGTCCTTAAAAGTTTTCGGCACTCTGCAACTGTAAACGAGCAAGGTCGCTATGAAGTCTTTTTGCCCTGGAAGGAGAATCATCCGACTCTTCCTGTGAATCGAGCGACGGCTGAACGAAGACTGGACAACACGATCAAAAAGCTGCAACAAGATGGTTTATACCGGGCTTACGACGACGTTTTTCAAGACTGGTTGAACGAAGGAATAATAGAGGAAGTTCCTGTCGATGAGATTGAGGATTATGGACATTATCTGCCTCACAGACACGTCATTAAGGAGAATAGCACGACTCGAATTCGCCCCGTTTTCGATGCATCGTCAAGAGAGAGAAGTGGTCCCTCTTTAAATCAGTGTCTGGAGACAGGTCCTAATTTCATCGAGTTAATACCCGAGTTACTACTACGATTCAGGCAACGGAAATTTGGAGTGATAGCAGACATCCGAAGGGCGTTCCTTCAGATCAGTGTCTCGAAGCAGGATCGAGATGTCATGAGATTTTTATGGAAGAGACAGCCTGGAGACAAGGACTACGTAGTCTATCGACACTGCCGAGTCGTATTTGGTGTTTCAAGCAGTCCTTTTTTGCTGGGAGCTACTATCGATCTTCACCTGGAGAACGTTGCTCGGGACTTACCACAAGAAGAGGTCGGCCTAGTGCGGGATCTTGCAAAATCCTTCTACGTCGACAATTGCATAACTAGTCTCGCAACGATTGAAGAAATGAAGAATTTCGAGGACAAAGCAACTTTCTACATGAGCAGAGGAGGTTTCGACCTTCGAGGGTGGGAGTATGCTGGTGAAACAAACCCCTCGAGAGAAGCTCCAGTTTTGGGTCTTATCTGGGACAAGGATAAAGACGTGATGAAGATTTCCAGTCACAGCTTGCAGCCGAAGATTCCGAGTGAAACTACCAAAAGGAAAATTTTAGCGGCCTCGCAGAAGGTATTCGACCCCATTGGTATGGTCTGTCCAGTGTTACTTTGTCCGAAGTTAATTTTGCAGGCACTATGGACTACGAATAAAGGCTGGGACGAGCTGGTCGACGAAACGACAAGCGTAGCGTTTCTGAAGTGGCTACGAGACTTGGAGAATCTTCGCGAAGTCAAAATTCCTCGATGGGCCTTTGGAGAGTGTGGCGATTCCCTATCGCTTCATTTATTTGTCGACGCTAGCCAAGTTGCCTACGCCGCTGTTATTTTTGCAAGAGTGGTCCGTTGCCAGGGAATTGAGGTTCGTTTCGTTCAGGCCAAATCCAGACTCGCCCCTTTAGGAAAACCGACCGTTCCACGGCTGGAACTGATGGGCGTTGCTATAGGAGCCCGCCTGTTGCATACCACCATCAAGACCTTGAATCGTCCCGAGCTTAGAGTTTATTGTTGGACGGATTCCTCTACGGTGCTTGCATGGATCAAAAGAGAGAATCAATGGGCATCCTTTGTCTGGAGACGAGTACAAGAAATTAGGCAATTGACTGATCCCGATACTTGGCGCCATGTTCCTGGAG